CTGTTCATGTGGCGCAGGCTGTAGGCCACAACTTTCCTCTCACTGCACCGTCAATGTTCACGCTCTGCTTTCTGACGCCTCTCAAGACAGCTACAGACACCACCAGTGACAAGAATTTAAAATACTTGTTGGTTCTTTCAATGTATATTTGTTTGTTTGGATTGCTCAGTGTAAAGGGTTTAAGGTGGCATTCGGAGTGAGTTGTTTTAAGGAAGCCTGTCCTATAAACATTTTCACATCCTAGAAAGCTGAAAAAATATGACTAAAATAACTCCCATGCCCTTTCAGAAGCGACTCCAAACTGAAAGTAACAACTACAGAAGTTAGAATTGCTCAGCTGATATATGTGCTTTGACTTCCGAGTTGAGAAAAGCATATATTATATTTCACTACAAAATGTATTATTTCACTGGACAAGGCAAAACAACTCAGAGAAACATAAAAGTGGTCAAATGTCAGCAGAGTTTTTAGGTCTCAAATCCTTAATATGCCAAATCATGTAGAAGTTTAAAGGTGCACTATGAAACTTTTCTCATGGATGGTTATTCCTTTGCCTGAAATTTTCCACAGCATGACATTAAACTTATAATTTGTGGAAAAGCAAGTGCATTTTCCATGATATTTTTGTGATAAAACCAAAGCAAAGCAAGATGGCAAACAACAGTTCATCTTTAAATTACCCAGCTTCCCCCACTTCCTATCTAAATTTCGACCTCGTTCTTTGGTTACAGCAATAGCTTAAGAAGACTATTCTACCATTCTTCACCTTTCTCTCCCCCTCTTGCTCCCTCTCTGTCCGGTGGAGACAGTTGGACCCACCTCCCTTCACGCTGCCTCTGAACCAACCCCATCAAAACAATGTCAAAACCACACGGGTGCCACTCTGTGATTATGTTTTAATAATATGCTGTCTGATTGCTCAAAGCCCCCCATTTGCACACAGATGGACATTGCGTTTATGTAGCTATGGGCTGCCTGTATTGTCACTGTTGTTGTAGATGCTTCAAATTACCATGTCACTGTCTGCACAACTACACTGGTGATGACACATGCTCGGGACATGACAATGGGACCCACCTGTCAATCAAATTCAGACAAAATGGTGGAGATAGCATGTAAATGAATGTACATTGTTGCCAAATCTACACTGGAATGAAGGGGTATAGAAAAACCTAGACTAGATATATTGTCTTCACGGGTAAACCACGACTATTGGTTGGACACGTGCTTTTTTTTGGCATTTCCTTTTGTTTTGGAGCGATCGTGGACGATGATCTTTGTGCCTCCTTTATCGTTATTGTTGGTTTGTGAAGCCATAAACGAAAACAAAACTGGCAGATAAGAACTAAGAGAAGAAGATAAGAACAAAAAAAAAAGTGATTGTATTTCTGTTCGAGGGGTTAGTATATGGAACAATCTGAGTGATGATTTTAAAAAAGTCTAACACTGTAGAAGCCCTTAAAAAGAAAAAAAAAAAATTGTGTAAAGCATTATGTTTTGAAAGATATAGAGCTCTGGAATGAATAAATTATGCATTAAATTTGTTTGCTTTAATGTATATATTGTCTCTTACATGTGCAGTAAGTCATATGTGAAATTTTAAATGCAAACTCGCTGTTCATGTGCTGTTTTTCTTTCTTGGAATTCTGTAATTGTTTAATAAGGTTAGGCATTAGAAGTACTTTTTACTCTAGCCTAAACCCTTTTGGTCATGATCCATGGGTTTGCAGTCTAATATTTTGTTTTGTTTTGTTTTGTAGTGCTACAAAATGACAGAATAAACTACTACTATTGTATTACTAATGTACTATTATATCTTTGCCAAGAATGTTCCACGGTATGGCAGTGAACATATCTCCATGGTGATAAACAGGAAGCCCTACAGGTCAGGTTATCTGTGCAGAGGTAAACCCACGCGGAGTAAGATGTTTTTTGATGTATTTTTGAGCAACAAAAACATGTTAGAGTGAAGTAAGGTTAAATCTATACTGTGGAACATTCAAAGTGAAGCAATAAATTTTCCATGAACACAAGACTCCCACCAGTTACATAGTACACCTTTATACAGCAAAGCAGATCTTTTAAAGAGAAACTAATTTGATGGAGGCAAAAATCATGCATATACATCTTTGAAATATGTGTCTAGTACAGGGGTGGGCAAACTACAGCCGGGGAGCCATATGCGGTCCTTTAATCTTTTTAATCAGGCCCCCCGAACTTGAATAATAATAATAAAAAGAAGAAGAAGAATTTTTAGTGTTTTAATAAATAGTAAATACTGTGCGAATTGAAAGAGATATTTTGTTGAAATGCTTTGTATTATGGGATATTTATTTATTTATTTTTCTCTCTTATGAGGTGGATTACCAAAAAACTCCATCCATCTGCTCCTGGTCCAGCCCTTCTGTCAAATTTTAGAACCTTTTGTGGCCCACGAGTCAAAAAGCTTGCCCATCCCTGGTCTAGTAGCTGTAGTAGTTGTAGCAGTAGTTGTTGTAGTAGAAGTTCTAGTACACAGTGATTTTATCTTAGTATTTGTTAAACAACTAGAACCACTTTCAAGTGTTTGGGCTAGAGTTTTTAGTGTCTGGCCCAAGGACACAAAAAGTAAGGTTTTGAACATTTAACTCTTGGTTAATGGAGAGTGAGACAGCGTCCTCTCTTCTGAGCGACTGCCACTCAAAAAATACAACATAATAGTAGCAATTTTGGATATACGATTGTCCAAAAGTTAACATTTAAGACATAACAATATGCATTTTTGTTATTTCTGTTTCTTTAAAATGTATAATCTTGCTTTCACACTTTTTGCCTCTGGTTTAAAAATAAGAAAAAATCTATAAAGACCCAGATACACAATGTCTGTTTAATCTTCCATATTTACATAACTCGAAACAGCTCAACCCGCACATTCAGAGCTCATATCAGACGGGGCATGGCAGAACAGTTGGATAGGTGAAAACTTGTAAATGTAAAACTCACATCCTACTAAGTTATGTTCAAACATTCAATCTCTCTCCATGTGAACAAGTCTGTGTCTCTTAAGAATTCTACTATTTCCAAGAGGCCAATTAGCACGTTAGCTCACACTTCACGTTATTACTTAAGTGTTTTCTTTTGGACAAGTTGTGGTTTTGAAGCAAGTTTGGAAGCAGGTAATATTTAATGAAAAGTTAATAGCTCTAATCTGTGGTCATGCTGTTGTTATTGCTTTGGAATGATCCTTAGGATAGCATTAAGCTTATCTCCATGGAGACAAAGAGCTGACGCCACCAGGCAAAGCTACAGGTCAGATCTGTGGAGAGGCATGTTCCCTAACAGGCATGTTTTTCAATGTATTTTTTTTTTTTTTTGCAATAAAACAGGTAAAATGTAGCCTGATGCATCAGCCGGTTTCACTTTGTGGAAACCGTCTGACCTCGCAGCATTAGGATTTGTTCGCTTGGCGGTAGGCAGGTACTTTTTAAATTTAACCAATCATTGCTATTTGGTCATGACATATGTAATGCGCCAAATCTCATAGGAAGAAGGGCAATCACTTCTTCCACCTTGATAAAATTCACAAAACATTCTCTTTGTTTCGGCTTTAAATCCTTGATCTTGGGAATCGTTGCCAATACAGAATTTATGACTTTGTCTACATCCACCTCGACCACTTTGTTTTCTGTTGTGCTGTACCACAAAAGGGACCCAGTCATGGCTTCACAGCTCTTCGCTGTCTACAACTTCTGGGGTTTTTGCAAACCATCTAGTGTATTCTGATTACTGACCTAGTCACTGGAGAGAAATGAAATTGAGCGGAGGCACTAGGTGACGCCAGCCTGGCTAGGTAAAATGCCATACTGCAGATCATCCAGCACAAATTTATAATATCTCATCTATCAAAACAGACTACTGATGGACCTTGGACTGTGACAATAATCAACTTATTGTTCAGTATATGAAAAGTGGAAGAATATTTTCGGTTATTCAGTAGGACTATTTATCTTGTGCACTGGTCAGGAACATTTTTATGGTAGGCGACCATAAAGTTTGATAGAGAACTTTATACTATAACTACAGTATCAAATTCACAGACAATTATCTGACATAAACACCTGACTTGTGTTTTGTTTCATTCACACGTGTGTGAATAATCCTGTAACATTAGTCTGTCAACATCTCCAAAGCTCAAAATGCATCATCCACCTTATGATGTCATGAAGCAACAGTTATCAAGTTAACAGACATTTAGATTTTGTTCAATAGATTAGCTCAAATAATCCAAATGATTCTAGTGAAGGTTTATGGAGTTTGAATACAAAGCAGAACACCTGTACTACCACATGACATCAGCCTAAATGTGCAGGGTTTGGTTGATAAAATGTGTGAATGAAACAAAACACAACTCCGGGTATGTTTTGGATGAGGAAACATTATAACACGACTTTAAATCAATATTAAAGACAGATTATAACCTAGATTGATATGTACCCCTGCTTCTGTCTGATACTAGGGCTGCGTACTGAAACAACTTTTAATTCATGGAACCTCCGAGTCCTCTACCAGCTGCTTTCTCATTTTCCAGACAATTCAAAGCATATCCAAGTTTCCTAACCTCACTGTTTGTCCTGTGCGTAACGACTTGTTAGTGTAACTTCGCTTGAACGCCATACACGGACTGTGAAATGTTGCTTTTTGTTGACCCCGGGACTCTGAAAGTGCTCCCTGCTGAGGTGGCGTTCAACCCAGCATGAGATAAGCACAGCTGTCATTTTTACTCTTACATCAACACAGACAGTTTGTACAGCTAACTTCGCAAATGGAGCAACTGCAAAAGCATAATTATACGGGCTCAAAGTTACAAAAAACGACGCCCCGGGCAACTTTTTACGCTGGTTGGGCGCATGGTGCTCGCTGACGCATAGAGAGTGCACTCCTAAAAAGTCTGCATAACTTCAGTCAAGTGAAAGTCGCGGGTTTTTGAGATTTCCTCGTTGATAAATCGCACAATTACGCACCTTTAATGCTGATCCCGAGTCCTCCAACATCTTGTTTGGTCACTCGCACGGTGCGCTTTACGTTGGTGATGGTTTCAGGCACCGGGGAAGAGCTGAGGTTCGGCGGGTCTCCGTTTATGGCACCGACCGGGCTGGGGCTGGGTTTCGCGGGCTCTTCGGTAGTTTCCCCCGGGTTAAGAGTGAGCGTGTCCTCGGTGAGGGTAGCCAGCACGCGGATCCAGCGGTCCACGGTCACCCGGAGTTCCAGCAGTCCCGTCTTCTGTGCCTTCATCGCGGCAGCCATGTTTCATCGCATTCCTGGAATAACTCCGGACTGTGCAGCGGTCCTGTAAAGAGATAGGGGCTGGGACGGGCCGGGGCAAGGGGCGCGCGGAGAGTAGACAGTCCCCCCACCCTCCGATCACTCCTCCCAGCGTCACTCCTGAGCGCTTTACAACCGGCTCAGGAGCGTGGAGTTACAGCGAAGTTACCTCCTATTTAAAGAGCTAGTCCTGTCCACTAGACTTTGTTGAATGGCAAAAATGAGAATAGTCAAATCACAAGAGTTTGGAAAAAGTATAAATTAAGATGCTCTAACCTTAAGCCTTTAATACACTCATAATATTCTTAAAATAGCTTTAAATCATTAAGTAATATTGGAAAAATGGCAAAGTTATCCGGGGAATTCCTCTATCGTCCAGGCAGCCAAACATAAATAAATAAATGAAGGAAATCTGGAATAAAAAGTGAAATTTTATACGTCTTTGCCACTCGTCCAACAAAAGAAATAATGTAGGTTCACTCATAAAAAAAAAAAAAAAAAAAAATGTATCCATAGACATAACCTCATAAACCATAACTGTCCTGAGGTTTACTGACAAAATGACTAGGGGTGTGCAAAAATATTGAAATATCGATATATTGTACCGTTTAATGTGATGATACAGTATTGATATCGTGGGCTGCTCTATCGATATATCACCAAAAGTAGTTTTTGGTGTATTTTGGCGCTACAGTTTTGTTGCTTGTTTAGAGGAAGGAAACTCATTTGACATTTTCACATTTTTTTATGAGTAAAATGGCTTTTTTCATATTAACTTTGCAAAAGAAGTGGTTTAACAAAGACTGTTAATATCACAGCCGTGATTTAACCATTATTTTTTATTGAACCGTATCGCATCGTATTTAAATATATCATATCGAAACAAAAGTGCACTGTATTGAGCTACGTATCATGGTCTATGTATCGTATCAGCATCTTCGTAATGATACCCAGCCCTAAAAATGATTGATACAAATAAGTGATAAGTGATTCTGTACCATCTTCTGAATTCATGATGGGAAGAATACTTATTAATAATGTATTTAGTTATAGAATACTGATTATCTACTTTAAAATGTATTTTGTGGAGTATTCCGATACATAATCCAATCAGAATGAGCCTATTGTGTACTGAATACTTTCATGCAGAGTTGCATAAATTGTGGTGTAAAAACTTAACAGCTTTATATTTGTTTCATCGTTTGTTATGGATTTCCTATCAGTAATTGCAGAAGGAAAACCTAAACATGCACACGTTATTTTTTCTTACTGATTCTGTGCAGTTTGAAGCATAAATTGTATGATCATGTATTCTTTGATTTTAAGTAAGTGTATTCCAGTATTCCAGAGTATCAGCAAATGAAAGAGTAACTGTACCAGAATACAAAATGTGTATAGTGAATATGTATTCTTTAGGTACATGTATTTACTTGTACTTGTACTTCCCTACACTGATACAATGCTAAGTGTCTTGCTCTAGAGCTGTAATCGAACCACTAACCGTCCATTTATAAGACATTCCGCTGTCTATGGATGTTCATGTCTGTCCCTTGCTCCAATAACTTTCTGCAAAATTAGCGACAAATTTGAGACACATTTTTGCATATTCTTTGGCCTTCTGAACAATTTTACTTTCTATAAAGTGTCTGGCAGCTTCTCCGGAACAGGAATGTGCTGATCGGCTGCACAAAAAATAGACTAACCCAAAGCAGACTCAGATTTATAAAATTCCAATTCTCAGTGGGTGTCCTTCTACAGTCTAAACGTCTCCTCTCTCCTAAAGCTCTTTTTGAAAGGGCTCTGTAGTTTTTGCTTGAGTTCAATGTGAAGTTTTATATCTTGCATAATCATGTACAGTAACATCATAATTTCAATGATAAATAATCATTTGTGCGCTAAATCAGAGGTCCACCTTCAGTCATATAAGGTGCTTATATAAAGTTCAGTAGACTTTATATTAAAGGTCTTTTATTACACAAAACTGACTCTTGTGAGTGTCAGGTTATGTTATAATGTTGTTACCTCATCAAAAACAAACTTGGAGTTGTGTTTTGTTTTAAGTAATGCTGCATTATTAAGTTTTCTACATCTCCAAAGCTCAAAATGCTCTGTTCCACCTTGTGATGTCATGAAGCCATAGTTTTCAAGTTAACAGCTCCTTTTACCTTTATTTCTGTAGAGACTGGCAATTACATGGCTGAAATTATCCAAATGATTCTAGTGAAGGTGTCTGGAGTTTAAAAACACAGTGGAGCACTTCTGCTATTATTACATGACATTGCAAGATGGAACAGAGTGCTTTTATTTTGACAGAAGAACTGAGCCTAATTATGCAGCAATTGTGAGTTAAACGTGTGAATGAAACAAAACACAACATGTTTTTGATGAGGAAAAAATATTATAACATAGATCAGAAACACTGTAAAATGTTCCCTTTAACTTCTATAACAGCAACAACCAACTAAAGAGTTTTCCAAGTGCAGTGATCAAAACATTTAGTAACATGAATAAATAAATGCAATAAATACTTGACTATATTGGATAAAAATAGATGTTGCTTACAGTGTGCAAGTAGCTGATGCATAACTACAAACAGCAATTTTGTAAATTATGCAACTCTGGTGGAGGATAAGCATATCTATCAACAACACAAAGCGAAGTTACAGGTGGAAAAAATGGATTCATGTGAGTTTTAAGCCATGTTATAATGCTGCTAAATCTTCTTGATCACGTATCTTTGAGTAATCCTTTATTATTAGCCTCAAAACGCCCTGTTCCACCTTGTGATGTCATGTCACTTTCAAGTTCACGGCTACCTTTTACCTTTTGTTCAGTAGAGATTGGCGCAATTCCAGGGCTGAAATCATCCGAATAATTCTAGTGAAGGTGTACGGAGTTTAAAAACACAGTGAAGAACTTCCTGTATTACTGCATGACATCACAAGGTGGAACAACATGTTTTCTGTTTGAGAGAAATCTGCAGGATTTGTGTATTAAACATGTGTGAATGAAACAAAACAAAACTCCAGGTATGTTTTTTGATGAGGAAACAACATTATAACATAGATCAGAAAATAATGTAATATGGGCTCTTTAATGCCATGCTGTGAAACATTCCATACCATCTCCATGGAGACAAGCAGAAAAGTTACACAGTGTACCTTTAAGTTGTGTTTGCTCAGACTTTTTGGTTGGTACGAGTTCTAACAGGCTGCAAATTCCCATGGCAACTTGTTTTATCCCTTTGGAAGAATTCTCAGTAAATGACAGAAAATTAAGTGAGCTTACTGCAGCTTTTACTTTTCCTTTAAACAAGGTCGATCCGATTGGAAACGGTGCCGAGCTCATGCCACAGTTCAAAAAGGGTCTTGTTGAGCCCTCTATTAATAGTCCGTGTGAGACCAAGTTACATAATTAAGTTTGCCTTATTTATTTATATATTCAAAGAGTATACCAGTCACCAGCTCACGCCACAGAGCTCATTTAGAGTGTGGCCAGACTTTTTGGTTACACTTAATCCAGATAGGAATGGTAAAATATACACAGTGAAGAAGAAACTGAAGTGATGGTATTGTAGAGTACTTTGCTAACATGTAAAATATTTGTACTATTCAGGGGTAAATGCTTGTTTTGATTTGACTGCAAAATATTGTAGACATAATTTAAAAAACATGCTGTCTAGAGCTAAGGTTTGCATTTTTTACCCAAATCTTAGAGAAAGCCAATTGCATCGCCATCAATAAATATTACTTGTTTAAAATGTACTTCAAGAGTAAAAAAGAAAAGTATTTCAGATCTAATAAAGCTTCAGATGTAGTGATTTGGATAAATATTTGTTCAACAGAAACAATTGAATCAATAGTTTTTTCTATATGTTTTTATTTGTTTGTTGTTGTTGTTTTTTCAGAACTGTTCTAAATCGTAAAAAGATTATTTATTTGTATGCAGGTAATGTGACACTTTCCTTGCAGAATGCTCATCAAAACAATGCAATGTACTTAAAAATAAAAAAATCTTTAAAGGTGCACTGCATAACTTTTCTTGGGGAGGGTACACCACATGCTAGTTTCCTTGTAGATGTACCTACCTGTTGGCTGAAATGTTTCACAGTGTGGCATTAAACTTTTCTGTAACCATGGGAATAAGCAGGCCAAGGTACAGATCAGCTCAGTTCAGAGGCGGATCCGCTCACACAAGAATACATGTTTTTAAAAGTATTTCAGAACAATAAAGTCACCTCTAATAAAACAAAGCCTGTATAGATTTTTAATGCCACACTGTGGAACATTAGCCAGGTTGGCGTCACCTAGTGCCTCCGCTCAATTTCATTTCTCTCCAGCGACTAGGTCAGGAATCGGAATGCACTAGAAGGTTCGCAAGAAACCCGGAAGTTGTAGACCGCACACTGGCCAATCAACGAAGAGCTGAACCAACCCGAGTTGCGATATCAGACTGCATACACTATCCTACTTTGCACTTCCTTTGTCAAATACAGACTTTATATTTTTTATTGCACCTTCAATTCGCAAGTTCATCTCGCAGAAATGACAATGATTGTTGACAGACATGTTCACTCTCTGCTTTGTTTGCTGTTGTGCAGGCAGTTACTCGACACCACTGAGCATTAGATACATCATGACCAAATATCAGCGACTGGTTAAATAAAAAAGCACCTGCCTGCTTTTGAGTGAATGAATCCTAATGCAGTTTTCACAAGTGAAACCAGCTGATGAACCAGGCTAGTAGAACATACCAAGCAAAGTATTATATCCCCAAAGAACCCTCCATCAGAAAAGTTACACAATGTAGCTTTAAATCTCTTCTTTACAAAGTTGTGGCATGGCAACAAAGCAGCAGCGTCGTGCATAAAGTAGAAAGAACAACTTGTTTAAAATATTGATAGAGAAACATATTTGCAATTCGTTACATCATAATTTGATTAAAAATGCATAAAGTCACCCCATGCATCTCTCAAATCTCTGCTGTGTTGGCTTACATAGAACTGAGTAGGTTTTACACAAGCTCTCGTCAGATCACATCAGACTCAAAGAGGTTCTCAAACAGCGGGGCACAGTCCGCAGGCA